TCAACCAGCCTTTCAACAATAACCCATAAAATTGTTTCTCATTCACTACCACCAAATATATATTCCCCATGACCAATGAACCCTAGCCCATTGTCACATGTCATCCATGGGACTTCATATGACACTATAAGCCACTACCATCCAATGCACATGATCCATGATCCATGAACCCAAACCCATTGTCACATGTCATCCATGGGTCTTCACTATAAACCATTACCACCCAATGCACATGAACCATGGCCCATGATACCAATTGTAGTGATCCTGATTATGATGACATGTGCGGAATTTAAAAGATTTAGTGAATCATTCAAGAAACATGAATACAAGGAGTAAATAATCAGGTTAAGCTCTCATTAGTTCAAGTGAGTATTACAAAGTGGGTAATGTAAAAATGCTCTCACTAATCTAATCTCTCCAAAGTTCATTACATAAATGAGTGTTACTCACTTCCTATTTATAGGAAAGACAACTCATTACATAATACAATAGGGTAAGCCTACACTCCACATCCAAGGAGAACTTTGCACCTAACACCAATACTAAAAATCTCCCTTTAAGTACTCATGAGTATTAGTCGCAATCTCTATGCTATGTTCATCACCATGAACAATCTACTAAATACTACATAATAATCTTAAATAACTACTTAATTCCAAAAGTACGAATTAATATGGAGGTTTGAGTGAATTAGTACTCTGAAAGTTGGTCAAAACATGCAAATAGGAACACAATGATAAACTAATGAAATGATTGATCTCCAGAAAATATTAAGATCTCTACTTAATAATCACCAAATCAAATAAAGATTTATATTTCTTAAGTTCAAAAATCAAAACAAACTAAATTAAGTGTGCTTAAGAAAATTCATTTACAAATCTAATGCCTTTTGACCTTGTGTGCCAAACACACTTAGTCAGTGACAATGGCTTAGTGAATGGATTGCCAAGATTCCTTTCCGATATGACTTTACTAACTATGATGTCTTCACATTTCACTAACTACCAAATGTGATGGTAGTTACTGAGTATATTTCTTGTGCACTCACGTGATTTTTGAGGTCGTTAGTCGAGGCGACTACACCTTTATAGTCATAGAAAGATTTCAACTAAATCATTAAGGTTTGAAAAACAACACTGAGAGCATTGATGAATACGTTTAGCAACTTAGCCTAATTTGTAGTCTCACTTACTGCAATATACTCTACCTTTTTTTAAGTCCACTATGGTGTATTACTTGGTAATATTCCAAGTCAATGCTTCACCATTCACTAAGAGCACAAATTCTGACTACAAGAATAATTGTCTCTACTAGTCTGAAACTAACATCAATGTAACCCTTACATTGACCTCATTCATACTTACGGTAACATATATTTTTCATCCTAGGATACTTAATAGTGTTCTTGGTATCGATTTAGTGATTAACTATGAAGTTAATATGATATCGACTAGTCATGCTTAAGGTATACGAGACATCAACCTAGTATATGATATGGCATGCATGATCGATACCACAATAGAAGCCTATGGAAATCGACTAATATACTTTAAATCATCACTAGAACTAATACATAGAGAATTGCACAATGTCATACCATGATTTTTCGGCACCAACTTTTTCGACCTCTATATATTGAATTTCTTTAAAATAGTATGTATACTGCCTCAATCCAAAGATTCACTTAGATCTATCTCCATAGATCTTTACATTCAATATGTATGTTTCTTCTCCCAAGTTTTTCATTCAGAAACAAATCCCAAGACAAGCTTTTACAGTTTGCATAGTTAGGATCTGTTTCATATAGGTTGTATATCATCAAAATGTTAGTACAAAGGTGACAACAACACTTCCACTAGCTTTGACATATATTCTTGGCTTATATTTGTTTCTTAAAATTCCAAACTCTTTGACTTTATCATCAAAGCAAAGATTCCAACTACGAGATTCTTGTTTTAGTCCATAAATGGACTTCATAAGCTTACACACCCTTCACAACCTATCTCGGTTCAAATTTGTGTGCATTCCTATCCATGTTTGTATTTTACTTGATGACCTTCTTACACACAACTTTTTAATGGAAGGTGTATGATCAACCAGAATCAATATTGATTATCATTCATGGACTGAGTCTCACCCTTTATTGACTCCTTCCATTTTGTAGACTTTTTGGGTCTGATATACCTTTCGATAGCTGGTAGACTCCAATCGTCATCTACTAGTGAATCATTTCCCTTAATATATATATATATATATATATATATATATATATATATATATATATATATATATATATATATATATATATATATATATATATAACTACGTGCATGATGTCCCCTATCAGATATTTGGAGAACATATGGAGACATGCCAAATTCCTCAACAACCTTTTGTTGAGACTCAATAGGTCTTTTAACCTCTTATTGAGTGCTAATGCCAAATTTAAGTTCTTCGTTGGTTGGCTCTTTAATTTCTTCAAGATCAATATGATCCTATTGGCCTCTTTGGATATCAACTTTCTCTCTCGAAAGACTGACTTTTGAGTAACAAACACTTTGCACTTAGAGGGTTTGTAAAACAAACTCCCAAAAGACTTGGTGGGATATCTAACGATGTAAGACATCTCTGTTCTAGGTTCTAGGTGAGTGCTTCACACAAAGACTGAGCCTCACAATCATATACTTTCACGTGTGATAGTAACAGAAGAACCTCACTTCACATCTCAAAGAGCGTCTCGTAAACCTTATAAGTTGGTACAAGTTCAAGGACTACTGCAACAATCTTGATGGTACAGCCCATGAACTATTTGGAAGCATAGTTCGACTACTCAATTTACCATAGAAAAAATGATTGGTTTTTCTTTCCAACTACATTGTTTTCTTATAATGTTCTGGGTGGAGATAGTTAAACTATTTCCCAGTTCCTTATATAATCGTTAGACTTTTGACTAAGATGATCAATATCCAGATATGATCTAAGTATCTTATCCCTTTGCCTAGTTGATTCAACACTTCATTTTTATGAAAGGTGTAAACACCTTAAAAGTTTCAGACTTATCAAAGAAACATGCCTAACTACTATAGGTAACGGAGTTTGTCTAACTATGTATTATGATAAATTTGATCGATCCATTAGCATAAACTAAATCCAATAAATACTTACACCACCAAGTGATGCTTTTGTCATTCATCTTAATAAATAAGATTTGCATTTATCATATATGCCCAATAAGAAAATTTCATGAATACATATCATAAATACCTTGTGGATGTAATATAATCAATGTTGAACATTTCTACTATACTAGTTACATAGATTTCATGACATGGTTTTTAAAATTGAGAACACATTTTTTTAATAAATAAAACATTTTACATTTAAATAAGTTAGAACCATCTAATGAAACATCAAATAACCAATTTCAATCATAAAATCATAGGAAAAACACTAAAGATCATAAAATCATAGGAAAAACACTAAAGAGAACGATTTTACTCTTGGTCCTATGGATATTAATAAGGGCTCGGTATCCATGATGAAATTCTATTTTCTATGTTTCAGCCTTTTACTTCCTTTTAGTCACTACAGATTTTTGGAAATGTCAGTACCTCACCATGGGTTTAATACTCAATGGTTGGGAATAATATTCTAATGGTATTATGAATTCGTATATCTGACTGTGTGCCACACTGTTTGGCTTACAACTTTTTAGCTTATTTAAATATGTTTGGCATATATGCTTTCTCAGTCCTTCTCTTTCTTTGGAACCAAAATTGCCTTATCCGACATTTGTCTTAGTGTTAGCCTTCCTTTTTTCCATGACGTTAGGGTTGGAATTCAGTACACCAACTTTGACCTTCCTTTACCAATGGGCAATTGGTTTTCTCCTTCTCGACCCTTCATTTTCTAATAACAAATATAAAAGTAGTGAAGCTACAGTTTTTATGCATGGTCATGTTTGTTTCAGAATTACTTAACATGCCATGCAACTCCTTCATGGACCTTTCAAAGTAGTTTATATCAAAATTAGAGTGAATTGATTATATATACATGTCAGCTAGTTGAACATTGATGACGTGCCCTAGCGAGCACAGAAGAGTCACGCCCAACCACGGTAGGAAATCATGACGTGCCTCAGCGAGCACAAAAGGGTCGCGCCCGGCCGTAGTAGAGAACGCCCCAAGGCGCAGCATGCCTGACCGGCTAAACCCAACAAAATCTCGGACCCACCAGCGCCCCTAAGAGCAGGGCGCTCTCCAGAAAGGCTCGGTCCCGCTTGAGTCGCCTTTCACTCCGGGACAAACACAACGGTCACGCGACAAGGCAGATGCTTAGGGCATTACCACCGCAACCAATCGTTGGTCCTGACAGATTCAGGAGCATGATCCACCAATCAGCGTCCCCGATCCTGTTGGGTCTGATGCCTTTGTCTCATACGGACTAGCATGGGAGTTCAGTATAGTGATTCTCTACCAGTTTACGCTCCACTCAACCCTAGAGAGTACCCACTGACTTGACCGTCAGAGCGTTTTCCCAGGAGCTCCTCCCGGAGAACAGCTGACGACCTCTTTCTTACTGTGACCCCACAAGTTCACCAAAGTTACTCAGTCTGGAGGACGAAGAGCGAAAGACTAGGTCACATCATTTGGCGCCATCTGTCGTGTGACGAAAAAAAAACCAAAAGCACACCACTCATAAGAGAAAAATGGAATCCGGTGATACAGGAGGAACCATCGGAATGCCAACCAGCCCCATTCGGTCTATAACGTCGATAGAGCAACCCCCTACCCCGCCTCTTGCAATAATCATTGGAGAAACATCAAACGAGGGCGGTTCAGTGGTAGTTGTCGTACCACTGGCCGAACAAGAGCAACCAGCTAACGGAGGACAACCTCCCTTCGCTGTCGTGTCATCAATAAGCGTTCTGATGCAGACATCCCATCTTCCAGCAACGCCAAATGGTATCGTGTCGTCGGCGGTGGAAGACCTCAGCATCACACTAGCGCTTCTCTAAGAATCGTCAACACATCAGGCGACAGCTGCGCAGCCGGTGGTTTTCCAGTCACCACCACCGCTAAGCCAGACGACAACTGCGTAGTCGGTGGTTTTCCAGACACCACCACCACTAAGCCAGATGATAGCTGTACAGCCGGTGGTTTTCCAGACACCACTACCGCTAAACCATATGGCAGCTGCGCAACCGACAGTTTTCCAGACACCACCACCGTTAAACAAGACGACAGTTGCTCAACCGGTGGTTTTCCAAACAACACCACCACCAAACCAGACGATAGGGGCACATCCCATGATTTTCTCACCACCAATAGCACAGATGGCGGGGGAAGTGCCAGTGACTCTTCAAATGCCACCACTCGACCAGTCGGGGAGAAACCAAACAATGACCTTCCTGACAAACCCATTTCTAGCGAATCCCCCTTTTCCCTCTACGATCCCACATTACCAACATATCACACCTAACAATATCCATACACAAAGCCCGCCCATATTTCCCACCCAGATGTTAACCGTACCATTTCCACACCAAGCATTTTATGGGCCAAACCCTAGCCACTACTCACCATACAACAGCGCGACCACACACCCATATAACAAAACCCCACAACACAACTCACAGAGTGCTTTTTCTATCCCAAACCAAGACTTCCTATCGCACAGTGTGACGTCTCTATTCGCCAAGGAGCTTCTAGACTACGAAATCCCAAACACAACAAAACTGCCACACCTAAAAACCTACAACTGAACCACAGACCCTGATAGCCACATCGATACGTACGAGTGGACGATGACATCGCTTAAGCTGGATTAGCGATTCTGGTGTACGTATTTCCCGACCACCTAGGACGGCAACGTAGGAACATGGTTCAAAACATTAAGACCAGGAAGTATATACAACTTGGGGCAGCTAAAGTATCTCTTCTTAACAAAATTTATGCATTTGAGGAAGTACAAAGGGGATTCACACTCAATCATTGGCTGCAAGCAAAAAGAAGGAGAAATAATCAGAGAATACCTCACTAGGTTCACCAACACCACGCTGGACGTCCCAGGCCACGATGAAGGCTTAATAGCGGGCGCCTTCACATGGGGTCTCCTGTCAGGCCCATTGTCTCAAAAGCTCATGAAGAAGAAGCCGCAAACACGGGCAGAGCTAAAAGAGAAGGTGGAACGCTATCTAAGACAAGAGGAAAGGGTAGCAACGAAACAAGCATACCTAAATGCCATGACCACCCCGACCGCCAAGCGTCACAACTCACCATCCTACCCAGAAACCCAAAGTGGAAGCAAACACTTTGGACGAGGGAGGCGTCTGCAGGGGTGCTTTAGGCCGTTCCCGAGGGACGAGAGACGCGGCAGGCGGCCAAATGTCTATGTGGTCTCTGAAAAACAGCCAACCAAAGGAGTGAAAGGGCAATTATGTGAATACCACAAAAGCAAAACCCATTACACAGTCGATTGTTCGGTGCTGAAACATGAAATGGAAGAAAAACAACTCAAAGGAAACCTTGTCGAAGTGGCACGCAGCCTCCGAGCTAAATTTGACGATGAAAACGCCAAAGACGTAACAAGAGAACACAACCAACCCCATGAAATCCTAATGATACAGTCCAAGCGGGAAAGGCAATAGGAACATGATGACATAGACGAACTCACCAGGTCAATGCATGGGCTCACGTTTTCAGTAAAGGACCCTCGTCCAAAGGGTTGGAGGGGCGACGACCCACTTGTAATTCAAGGGTCTATCAAGAACATAACAATTCACAGGGTATACGTCGACACAGGAAGCTCGACGGACATTATTTACGAACACTGCTTCCGCCTCCTCCCCGACAGATGGAAGGAGAATCTCAAACCTACCATGGGAAGGATAACAGGATTCACAAGACACAGCCTATGTGTCACACCCCCAAACCAGAACGGCGGAAACGTTCGGGGGCGGAGGACGTCATGCTCAGTATCATAACCATAAGGAAGAAAGTAAACACAACCATCATAAATATAATTTAAAAGGTTACATCGTTTCAAAAGTATATGTTTCCAAATAAATTACATATGATGTCAAAATATAGCAAAAGAATCTACGCCTTAGCGTCTTGACTACAGAAATCTTGTGATTACCTATTTTATTGATTACTTGAGAATACAAGTTGTTTTGAAAGAGTATCAGCATAAAGCTGGTGAGTTCATAAGCAATTTATGAATGAAAAATGAATGATGTTCCTTTTTGTTTGTTACAAGTTTGTTTCCAGAAAATCCAATGTTTTCTAAAGGTTTGTTATAGCCTTAACTAAACCAAGACTTAGTGTATGTAAGTAAATCGTCATACTTGTGTGTGTGTGTGTGGTTTTATATTTAAATAAAACTCCTTAAATCCTCGTGAACTGTGCGTTTTGTTAATTTCCCATGTGAGATGTTTTAACCACGCTAAAACTCAAAGACCTCGTACTCGACGTTCTTCAGGCATCGAAATGTTATGACACTTGTCACCCCAGACCTGTCGGTCTAGCTGTTGCAAGTAGCTTAGGTGCGGGTTTGTCAGACCCAATGTAGATCTATACACAACTATCACGCTCTCCCTCCAGGAGATTCTGATTATAACTACAGGACTTTACTGTGGTACTTAAGAGTACCCCGAAGGAGAATGTCTCACAAATTTATTTATTAACAAGTTCACATAATTTGTAATGAAATACCCGTTTTGTAAATCGATTGTGTTACTGTTTTCTTTGTTAGACGAAGTGCTCAAACTATACCTATTATAGTTTATCAAAAGTGTTGTGTGTTTGAATGAATCCTTGTTATGCATGTCTTTGTATTTCAAATAAATGACATTGAAAATACTAAGTGTAAATCGTACACACCTTGCTCAGCATGTTACAAGGTGTGAATAACTCTTAACAGTTTTACCCAAAACTGTCACTGTTTTAGAATATTTATAGAAAAATCAGCGTAAGTCGAAAACTGAATCCGTAAACTCGGAGAGTTTCTAAAAAGAGTCTACTATATTCATAATTTTTCGTATAATTTTGGGTGGTCTCAAACCAGTGTGAAAATGTTCATCTTCACAACCTGGTCCAACTTTGATGCTGCAATGATAGGCAGTTTTGTAAAAATCACCATAAATTGTAGAAATATCGTATGAAGATGTGCAAGTAGTAATTTTAAAGGTATAGACCTGAACTATTTGCATATTAAACAGTTTTGAAAAATATTAAGTTTAAGTTGGCTAAAACAGTTCTAGAACTGGTCACAACGTTTCTGTTGTAAGCTGTCAAGTTAAGTTTCAAATATGTTTTGGTGTTTTAACTTGTAGTCCCCCCCCCCCCTAAAAACTAAAGAAAACGGGAAAATGTAGGGGTATGAACTCACCTTGAGTGATTTCTTGAAGAGTGGGAGGTTGAAGACAAGGAGTATCAAGTCAAGAACACTTGATGAACACGTGAAAGCTTGGATGATCCTAAGAACGATTCTTTGATGTTAAAATGTGTGTAGATGATTCAAGGATGTTATGAAAACATGGAATAATACTTGAGTTTAGATGGAATACTTACCAAAAAGTGAAGTAGTAGCTCAAGAACACTAGCACAAAGTGGTGGGAAGTAGAGAGAAAAGAAGCTTTCTTGAGGTGTTAAGAAATGTGTAAGTTTGGAATGATCAAGGTAAACCAAGAAATCCTCCAGGGATTTTTTTATATAGTGAAGGTTGCTGGAGAAATTTGCAAGTTGAAATGATGTTACCTTGGTTTGTGTGATGTGGATAAGATTGGGCTAATGAGAGGATGACACATGGAGGCAAGTGGGCACACTCGACCCACTTGTGGGGTAGAATACTCATCTTAATATAAAATAATGATTTTTAATTAATAAATCCTTCAGAAATAAATAAAATATGAGTTTTGGGGGTTTAAAATGGTAAAAATATAAATTTGGTGAAAAAATCCCATCAAAAACGTCAAAAACAGGCTTAGGAAGCGAAAGTAGTCGAAAACCGGGCAATAAGGACCGAACCTGCGAGGTTTGGCTCTTAGGAGGTGAGAACCGAGAGTGGGAGAAGGAAGGGACCGAAGATGCGAGAGGAGGAACCGAAGGTGGAGGCTCGGTCCGAAAGTGCTATGGAACCGAAATGGACCGAGGGTTCGGCCTATTTCGGTTGTAGGGAGGTTTCGGTCCTGCATGGTTTCGCTTCTGACAACTTCGCTTCTGAGAGCTTCGGTTCTGAGGGGCTTCGGCTCTAATAGAAGGGTTCGGCTCCTAAGAGGGTTTCGGTTCCTAAGAGAGGTTTCGGCCCTAATTCGCTGTTTTTCGATATAACTCCCAGATTCAAGCGGTTTTTGGCCAAGTTTAAGGGTCGGGATGACCCGGATGACTATAAAAAGTTTGAGAGAGATTTGGGAGAGATTTCACATACTTGGAGAGATTTGGGAGAGATTTCACATACTTGGAGAGATTTGGGAGAGATTTCACATACTTGGAGAGATTTGGGAGATATTTCACATACTTTGAGAGATTTCACATACTTGGAGAGATTTGGGAGAGATTTCACATACTTGGAGAGATTTGGGAGAGATTTCACATGCTTGGAGAGATTTGGGAAATATTTAATCTTAGCCATTATTATCGTATAATCTCGTAACGTAAGGTTCGTGAACCCCGTTATGCTTCGTTTATGATTGTTTTAAGTCCCCAAAAGGGTCCATAGTCGTGTTTTGATGCATTTAACTCCCTTTTTAGGGTTTTTACATTGCTAAACACATAGATTCTTCGAGACACTTGAACTCTTGACACACAAATGCACATTTTTATACATAGAATAACTTTTAACATACAAGTACTAATTAAGTTTGACCGGTTTGACTCGTTCACTTTGACTTTGACTTGTTGACTTTGACTTAGACTGGAATTTGACGGTTGTCACATTATCCCCCCGTTAGAAGGAATTTCGTCCCGAAATTTGCATTTTGAGTGGGACCTTAAGGGTTGGGGAATAGATGTGGATACTTTTGTTTCATTTGGTCCTCACGTTCCTAAGTAAATTCGGGTCCTCGCTTGGCGTTCCACCGGACCTTTACGACGGGAATGCGGTTTTGTTTCGTCAATTTGACCTCTCGATCCATGATTTCAACAGGTTCCTCGACGAAGTGGAGGTTCTCGCTGATCTCAATTTCTTCCAAAGGAATGACGAGGGTCTCATCAGACAAACATTTCTTCAGGTTTGACACATGAAAGGTAGGATGAACGTGATTGAGTTCCTGGGGTAATCGTAGCTTGTATGCCACCGGGCCAATCCTGGCGAGGATTTCGAATGGCCCGATATACCTTGGATTTAGTTTCCCACGTTTTCTGAAACGTATTAATCCCTTCCAAGGTGATAATTTTAGTAGTACTCGATCCCCAACTTGGAA